GTTCTTTAGATTCCTCATTATGCATACACTGACTAGCTGAAAAGCAGTTTATTACAAGACAGAATTGCTGGACATCCTCAGGGTCTGCTTAATAACGAGGCCTAGAGAGATAAAGTTGTGTTTTGTTTTCCCTAAAAATGTGTCTCATTTTCTTGTAGAAACCAGTAGGTGTTTTTTCATGTGCTTCTAGCAATCTAGTGCATATTCTGAGACAATTTCATTTTCAGACATAATTTTTTTTTCTTTCAGAAGTTGAGTGATTCTTTTGGGTGTCACTTGTTGATACACTTCACAAATGTGAAGGCAACTTTCGTGTCTCCTGAACACTCTTCTCTTTAGATGTTTCTCAGTTAAACTACAAAGATTGCTTTGACCTTTCTTCTGTGATTTTCAGTCTCTATTCACTTTTATTATTCTCCTCTGAAATCCTTCTGTACTCAGGATCCTAAGAGCATGATTCACAGCGGGTAGTTCATTGCTCAAGCAGAACTGCACAAATCTTTTTGTGCAGACTTCATGAAAGCACTAATTTCAACCCTTCAGTTGTTTTCATTGCTCTATCTCTGCTGTTATCACCGACTAGATTTTTCACTCTTGTTATCTTCCACATTTCTTTCTCTTAATTGTTGGCTTTTCAGCTTTCTTTCATTAACTGGCGAATGAAATGGCATTGCTTGAAGTTGAATTTCAGTGTTACATTCTTCGTCACTTTTTTGTTTTCATTAAGGCCTGATTATAGGCTCTTTTATCTGAATGGAAAACGTCTTTTGATGTGAGGAGGCTTTGCAGAAATTTTTCATTTGTTGTATACTGTTGATCTACAGTTTTTTGTTTGCCTCTCTCTTAGTCCTGAGTTCTTGGTATTGCTTATGTTACCAGCAGTTTGGGTGCATGCAGTGTAGCTTCGATCCAAAGCTTACAATGACAAATAGTGAATAACTCGTTTGTTTGCAATCTATAAACTTCCAGAACCTGAAGCAGGGAGTCTGGTTGGAAAAGTCTGCCTGAAGCCTGCTGGGGCCAATTTTGCTTAATTTTTACAATAATAAACTTGGCACAGTAAAGTACAAAGAGACAAAATTGATTCAGTGGAGGACAGAAGGACCTAGATGTTCCTTACACTTCTCCTTACAGAGAAATTTAAGATAAAATTAAACTATGTAAAGTACAAGATCACACATGCTGGAGTTACTAGAATCATTTTAGCTATAAGCTGTCAACTTGTCTGCCAAAATTAAATGGTGAGGAAAAGGGCTGTAACACACTAGTTGAACATGTAAAGGCTGCATCACCCACATATTATGAAAAAGAAAGTGCAATCCCAGGGGGTATCAGAAGTAATTCTGAGATAAATATGTTGTTTTATGGAATGTGTTAATGCATCAAAGCTCCACTAGGCACACTAATACTGTGTGCAGCTGTAACCACCCGCATTCTTAAAAGGTGAATTTATACAGGTGTGTTCCAGGTGTGCAGGCAGACTGAATCACACAAAAGGAGACTTAGAGATGGGTATTTTTGTTCTTGGAGAATGAAATCTGGGACAGGAGACTGCTGGTTTACCTCCCACCCAATGTATTTTCTTCTGTAGTAATCCTGGGGCTGAGCTGTTCCTTCTGCTGTGGCACAGATCATCTGCAGCACACGGATGTGCTGACAAGGCTTAGCTGTGCTCTTCATGCTGATCTGATCAATATTTGAGAGGATTTGCAGGACTCGTGCAATTGCAGATGAATTAACTTACTGAGTGCCTAAGTCCCCTCCTGTCCACTACCCACCCGCACACGTGCAGCCAAAATCTGTTCTGTACGTGCTCTCCCTGCGGCGCTAGAGTGTGAGCAGCCCTTTGAATTAGTACAGAAAACAGCTGTTTTGGTTCCCGTTCCTTTCAGGCAGGTAAATAAATAAATAAATAAATAAAAACAGTAGAGGTGTGTTGGTTTTCCTCAAAACTCTTAGAAAATTCTCGCTTTCCCTCCCTTATACCTGCTTGCCTACATTTCTGTTACAATATGACCATGGAAATCACCAATTCCATGTCTTCCAAAAGACAGAGAGAGAGAAATACCTGACATGACCAAGACCTAGGAACCATGAGAGTGCTGGGAGGAAAGCAATGCAATGCCATGCTCTTGAGCGTCCGGGAAGCCTCTATGATATGAAGGAGTTAAGCCACTGGTTTTCTTAACTTGCATTTACAAGAATTTGGCCTTAGGCAATTACTTTCTGTTTGAGGAATGGTTTTGTTGATGCGCTGCCATCTTCTGTACTATTTCAAAAGATTTTCTTACATTAATATTTTATCTGCCCTACAGGTTATTTTGAAGAAAGGAAATTTACGGTCTTAGACAAAAATCTTTCAGTGGGTTGTCTCTCTGTCTTTTCTTATCCTCCCTTTTCTGTAGGGAGAGGATTAATCATGTTATACCTAGTTCATGTGTCACTGTGTGTTAAACGTGTGTATTTAAGATTGCCTTTGAAGATACGCAAGTATCTAATGAAAAGCAAAAATGTTTCTCCTTTAATATGGAGGTTCAGGGAGCTAAATCTGTCTGAAAGCCCCAGAGATGATTTTTTTTCCCAAGGCTCCAAGAGGGTTTTTCTCCCCAGGCAAAAGACTTGACTCAATTTCTGTTGGATTCTTTCATCTGTCTCATCCGTAGGGTCTTATAGGAGAACGTAATTGCCTCTGTCCCCAGGAATTTTGATTGCAGTTAGTCTCTGCTAGTCTAAGAAGCACAGAGAAGTTTGATCCTAAATTTATGGTGTCATTTTGAACTGATCTTACAGAACCAGAAATGCAAAGAAAATTCAGTGTTGTTTGACTTGCACACATAAACTTTTTTAAAAATACCTTCAGGCTCTACTGTATTTCAAATTATAGGAGCCTGAAATTTTCAGATTTTCATAGAAAGATTGTTATTAATACATTATGTGTACCTTTACAGTATTTTTTTTGTCTTCCCAAAAAACATACAAAAATAGGTACTGGCCGAAAAATAAAACGGCCAATTTAAACATTTGCCTTAAACCAGTGACAACACGGGTCTTTTTCTTTTCTCAGCAATGTAGTTAAATGATACACATTTGGTAAAACAACTGCCATTTCTAATTTAGCTACCGGGAGGTGGTTGTCTTTGTTCTTTCGCTCTTTGATATTTGATCTGAGGAAAATTTTCTACTGTCGTCAGTGGACAGAATCTCGGGGTTCTGGTTCAAAGAATCTCCGTTTTGTTCTTAGAAGTCAGACAACTATTTTCCGTTTTCTTGGTCTGCTATCAAAATACTGGGATTAAAGGTCTGAACTTTTATTGTTATTCATTGGCTTTCAAAATAAGGAGAAACCTTCATGCATACGTTAATTTTACTTGAGTCAATTACAATTTTGGCATAGGAATTATATTTTTCCAGCCTGTGATTTTTTGCATTATCTTTCAGTTGCATTTGGACTATCACATCAAATTCTGTCTTCGCTTGCCTTCAGTGCCGAGTAAATCTACTATGAGGATTAAAAGACACATGAAATTCAAGTAAAATGAATTCTTGGTCTCAGAAGGTCAACTTGAGCACACTAAAAGCTGGGGGGAGGAAAAAAGGGTCATGTTAGTCCTACCCTTTTAGTCTGGGAATTTGGTAAATTTGATAAAACTGTTTAATTAAAATTGTTGTATTAAAATTGTTAATTAAAGATTAAGAAATCAAACTGCTCTATACTAGGAGATAAAAACCTTGAAAAGCATTACACTCCAAACAGAATTTCTGAAGTGAATGTCATACATATAGCAGGTTGTTTGCTTTTAACTAGCTCCTGTACAGGTGCATTAATTCTTTGACTTATTTGGACAGAGTTCTCATTTGGAATGATTGACATTCATGCAATGGTGAAAAACAGTAGTTTCATTGTATGGCTATAGGGTATTAGGCTTTTTTTGTGGCTTTTATGGAATGAAATGATGGTGTCAAGTGAATGTAGATAATTAGATTTATTTGCCTATTTTCTAATTAATAGGAATATCAAAATATAGTAAATGAAAATTTTGCCTGGGTTGATGCTACGTGATTCTGCAGTTTGGGGGCATTTAAACAGTGCCATGACATGTTGAAACTATGCCATTAATATTATCTAGTATAAAATCATCCACTATTACTGATTAGAAAAGGGACCCCCTAAAGACTTGTGCAATGCTGGGGCCTCCTTGCAGTATATGACAGAGAAGTCTGTGTTGTCACAGCTGTTGTGATACATATGGAGCCACTGGGAGCTGTTCGTTCTTCCCCGCTGTGATAGTGATGAAATTGGGCTGATTTCAATTAATTTGTAGTTCAAATTAGCATAGTGGTTTGTGATGCTATTTACGATAAAGCTTTATATATATTGTATGTATATATGTCTTTATAAAAGCTTCATCAAAGCTTTTGTCATCAAAGTACTTTTTGTTCATCAAAGTACTGCCTGCTACAGTATTCTTGCAATTTAGATGAGATTTTACAGTCTACACCTCGGACTGGTTAAAAAAAGAGAACTATTTGGATGCTGGGCCCCAGGGTAGGGGGTCATGGATGGTACTCTTTCGGGAGGGCAGTAACGAGCTGCGAGGTCTGTCCTGGACCGGTCCTTTCCAGCACTTCTATCAACGAGTGGGAACAGGCAACGCGATGCAGGCTCAGCTGGGTGGCAGCAGACAGGGGGAGCAGGCGATGTCTTGGCACGCAGGGAGACCGAGTGGGGCTGCCAGAGTGAAGACTAGAGCCCGGTTCTTCAGTGCAACGCGTGACCGTGGGTGGCAGCAGATGTCTTGGCATGCAGGGAGACTGAGTGGGGCTGCCAGAGTGAAGACTGAGCCCGGTTCTTCAGTGCAACGCGTGAGGGAGGGCAAGGATGACAGACAGGTGGAAACGAGAGAGATTCAGACTCAGATGCAAGGGAAGGCTTTTCCCTGGCAGAGCAGTCATGCAGTTGCCCAGAGCAGCTGGACAATCTCCATCCTTAGAGATTTTCGAGACCCACCTGGATAAAGCCTTGAACAACCTGGCCTGGCCTCACAGCTGAGCCTGGTTTGAGCAAATGGTTTAAGTAGAGACCTCCTGAGGTCCCTTCCAGCCTGAAATAGCTCATCCTCTGATTCCACGACTGTCTATTCGACTTTAGGTTTTGTTTGAGATTTGCTTCTGCTATGTAATTTGCATGTCTAAAATGTTACATGCTCAGTCTGTCCAGAAAGCTATCACACATTCAGCTAGCACTTACTGTGCATGTGTATTGTGTGTCTGTGTGTGGTTTCTGTGTTCCGTTTTAAAAATCTGGGCCTCTACCAAGCTCATATTTTATAAATAATCATGTTGCAAGTGTTATTTGCATCTCTGTGCTTATTACTGTTTCCTTTTCCTGTGCTAATTTCTCGCGTAAACTTGCCACACAACTGATACGCTTTTTTGTTTCTACAGAGGGAGAATATATCAAGATGTTCATGCGGGGTCGACCAATCACAATGTTCATTCCTTCTGATGTAGAAAACTATGATGATATCAGGACAGAACTGCCTCCTGAAAAGTTAAAACTGGAGTGGGTGTATCCTTATCAATAATTACTTGTGACTCGCTTTTTCTTGTCTTCATTTTTTTTTCCTTTAGGCTCTAGGAGTGTGTTTTCTGTGTTCAGTAGTAAAATTTACCCCAAGGAAAAGGTAAAAGAACTAATTTATTGAAGCAATCTAAATAGTTTGTACTTTAAAGTACATCTTTAAGCTGCAAAAAATTCCAGGCATGGAAAAAATATATTTTTTCCGTATTTTTTTTTCCTCCTCTCCTCTATGTTCACTTTGAAAAGGCTCTAGAGCTATGAAAAATCCTGAACAAAATGCAGAATTCCTTGTCTACAGAGTGAGCATTGCAGAAGTTCTCCGTCCACAAAATTCTTAGTGCTGTTTAACATGTTTCAGCCCCACAGTTAAAGGGTTCACTTCTTGGAAGACAGTCGGCACTGAACACATCTATCGTGTGAAGAATGGAGTTAGTCTGAATGTGACTAATGACATTTCTCCAGACACAGCAGGTCAGGAATTTTTGTTCAGTATCATGTCTTAAGTTCACTATAAGAAACATGCTCCTGAACATGTTTGGGTCCTTCCCTTCTGCTAGTCTCAGGGAATACACTTAACTCTTAGAACCACAGCTTAATGGAAGAGCCAATAGAAACTATGTGTCAGTAAAATAGCATGGGCTGGGCAACCCTTTAGTTGGTGTAATTATCTCAAGTTTGGTTCTTCTGATATTACTGAAAGCCCTAAGGTTTTTAGGAATGATGATGATACTGTCATGTGTCAGGATATATACAGGAAGGGCTGCCCATGCTCTGTCAGCTAAGGCAAACATATATTCTAATCCACCTATTTCCACTTACAAAAGAAGATTTATCTATAGTCTTTCTATCTTTGCAAACAAATAGGTTTTTGAAACTGATAAGATGGGGCATTTAGTTGAGGAGGATGGGAAAAAAGTGTCCTCTGAACTTTAGCAAGTTTTTGGAAGTGTAGACCATAAAGAAGACAAGTTTTTGATTGAAAGTCCTGATCAAAAGGAAAATAGAACTCTTATCCAGACTTTGCAAAATTGTGTTGCCATGTTTTCCTGCTGCCAGCCCTCTTGGGTGTTGATTCGTTGATTCTTGTATTCATGACCATGCAGTGAACTAGATCTGGCTGAATTGTTGTTGTTGTTTTGTTTTGTTTTGTTTGGTTGTTTTTTTTTTACTGAGTTACTCTTTAGCAGGATCAACTCATTAATTTGATTTACTCCACAAATATGTAAGGGCTAGAAACAACAGACAAGGGGAAGATCAAATCTATATTTTCAGCACTGAGGACTTCGGATGAATGAAAAGTGATCATGAAATCACACCCCTCAGTTAAGTAGGTGCAAATCCCTGTGTGGACATACTTATTTAATGTCCAAAGACCTTAAGTTCAGGTTAAACCAGTTTC